AGTCACTGGAAAAAAAGGATGTACCACTGAAGCAACTTTGCGCCTTAATCCCTTTACCGTACAACTTTCCGCCGCGAAACTGGCACAGGGTTGTCCACTCCGGACCGCATTACCTTCCCATCTTCATTTTCATAGGTCATCGCGGACCGCTCCTTTGATGAAACGAGATTCCAAATAGCTGGAACGTCTTTATTTCAAAAGAAGCCCTTCTTGAAAGCCTCCTGGGAGCTTTTCATGTAGCGATCCGCATTAGCCCCATCCTTGAAGGCATAGTCTACGATAACCGAATAGGCGGGGACTCACGACAACTCGATACTGTTTCCCTCCTTCCGATATCCCTCCGCACTGACGAAGGCGTGATAGTTATTCTCAATATTCTGTCTGCGTTGTTCCCTTTCCAGAGCAGTTTCCGCCGTTGCGGGGAAATTTTGCAAAATATGACCCCGTTCCGCATATTTACCTCCTTGAGCACGAACGGATCTACCATCCTCTACCCCATTTCCGCCACCCTATAAACTTACGGAATTTTAGTGGTCGGTGGGAGGGGGGGGGGAACACTTTAAATGTTAAAGCCCGGAAAAAACAGTACTCTGAAGCATTTTTCTCATAGGCGACTACCCCATCCTTTCCTCCGCCTACCCCACGTCTGTTGGGGATCCCCAGCGAGGGAGAAGGTAACCTGAATGTGACCTCCTCCTCCCTGGGTATCCATAGTATACGACGTACCTGTCCCTTCCTTTGAGTACCGAGGGGCAGTAGTGTAACTACTTCTACTTTTACTTAATGGATGTGTCTTCTCTAGGTTACGTCAGTCTTACCCTTTTCTAACTATTTGTCGCTCAATTTTCCATGCAACGCCCTGGCAATACAAAGAAATTTATTTTGAGGAGGAAAAACCGAAAAAATTTCCCTAATAACCAGAACTCGTAGCCCCTACTAACTGAACCTAGAACAATGCATTGAAATGTCCACTCAATGGCAAAGCACCAAAGCACCAAGAACTATTCCACGAAAAGTCACAGTTTCATGTGTAGGGCTACAATTCCAATTGTACCTAATTGTAAGACCAAAAGTAAGACTCTTCAAGTAGTACAAGTGTCTTTCAAGTTCTCTCATGTACCGTACTCCAGTATTCCAAGCTCCAGCTAAACAATAGCTTTACAGCAACAACTGCCGCACCACAACCACTTCCTGTCGATCCAAATCTTCCACCTGTTGATAAGAGCGTGGATCTCGATGGTGATGGTCGACTAAGCCTCGCTGAAGTGCAGTATGCCGCTTTCGTGCACCATGGACTATCAGGCAGTGTCGTTCAGGGCATGTTTACCGAGGTACGTGGACCTGCGACTGGAAGGATGGGAGTTTAGGCGGTGATTGGCCCATCTTGGAATTAGCCACGGGCCCTTCCAGACAAATATAGTACAAATTATCCGACTCTAATAAGTTGAGGGTTCCATTGTCCTGGAAGGGACTTGATCCCGGATCTGTTCTCCGACGGGACCCTTATATGTGGACCGTTACAGCCAATCAGGGATTAATGGTAAAGTCTTCGCCGTTGATCAATCCCTTTGTGGGATGCGGCACGCATTCTACTTCCATTCAGAATCGTAGTGGTCTTATTGAATGCGATGTGGCTTATACATACAATGATTGGCAGGAGCCAGCCGATGTGCAACTCAGGGTTTTATCCTCCCAGACAAATTTGGTACCAAGACACCGTCCCCGGAGGTGGAACGCCTGGTTGGCCTGAGATAAGCCGACCCGAGATTGTTCGTGCATGGTAATCGTACCACTGTTGATACTATACCCCCCCCTTCGACCACTGCCTGTTACACTGGAATAATTATATGTTCTTTTTAGGTGGATCACAACAAGGACGGGTATCTCGATTCAGCGGAATTCAACGACATCCGTGCAATGGTGCTAGCCAAGGCCGAAAATGCCGCCATGCGTTACATGCAGGCAAGTTTGAACTGCAAAGTAAAGAAAAAAAACAAGACCAGTCGGAAGGGTCCAGGCTTGTGGATCTAATGGAATGCGCCAAGTCGCTCCTCACGCATTTGTCCTTCTGAACTGCTGATCACCGGTCATCTGAGCGCTATCATTCCAAAGAGGAGCAGTGTGACTTGCTAGGGCTAAAAGCACAATCACAGCAAAACTCCTCATAATGTTCTGCAAAATACGACTCCACCCACAGAATTTCCTCCGCTGATTCGACCATCCTTTCTCTTCCCTCATATTTCCTGCCATCTTCCTGAGTGTTCCCTCTTCCTGCAGCTTTTATTGGTTTTTTTTCAAAATCATTCCCCTTTTTTGCCCTAAAACTACAGTCGAGCGGGAAACGGGCCAAGTCGGGGATAGGGGTCCCTTCTGCCTCGAGAGGTTCGTACTTCTCCTTGTGTGGGCTGGGTAAGGTCCATGATTGTATTGTATCGCAGCTGTATTTCCCTCAGTTCTGTACTGTCGTTTGAGGTCCGACAGGTTTGGACGCAGAAGATCAACCCGGAAATTATAAGCCAAAAGGTCTCTCAGTATGACCTCGTTCCCCACTTCTCTACCTGCAGTTTCGCGGCACGA